CCATCCTTTGTTTAATCCTTTCCCTATTGATGGCCAAATTATTTACAATTAATTGCTACTATAAGAAATGCTGCATTTAATGGATGTTCTTGTACATATATGCTTAAAGCATTATACTGGAGATAGAAAATTCTCACATCAGAATCTATAGGCCAATGCCTTTTGTAATTAAGACACTATATTAAAGTTTTAATACTATTAAGCTTAAATAGAAGGACAAAATCAACAAGAACAAATATTAAGAATTATATCCTAAAATGATCCATCAAAAGCAGGGTGACAAGCAATTGAAACTCCTGTTTATTTTAGTATGACTAGTATCTTCTAAGTCTCATATGTTAGTGTGTCAGATTGAGGGACCTCCAAAGGAATACCAATGACCAGGAAAAAGGATCATGATTTTTTTTTTTTTTTGGCCTCTTTATGCCCTGTATTTTAAAATGGAGGTATTGCTACTATTTCTAGTATGTGTGTGCTTCAGGACTTGGTTCACAATCTCTGACCTTCCTTGTTGCTTTCTTTCCCCCATTGAAAAACCAGATAGAGAGAAGGTCCTAGGCTGGGCGCGGTGGCTCACGCCTGTAATCCTAGCACTCTGGGAGGCCAAGGCGGGAGGATCGCTTGAGCTCAGGACTTCGAGACCAGCCTGAGCAAGAGTGAGACCCTGTCTCTACTAAAAATAGAAATTAGCCGGACAACTAAAAATATATAGAAAAAAATTAGCCGGGCGTGGTGGTGCACGCCTGTAGTCCCAGCTACTCGGGAGGCTGAGGCAGAAGGATCCCTTGAGGCCAGGAGTTCGAGGTTGCTGTGAGCTAGGCTGACGCCATGGCATTCTAGCCTGGGCAACACAGTGAGACTCTGTCTCAAAAGAAAAAAAAAAACAGAGCAGCTCCTGTGTGGCAGACTGCGAGCTATAAGCCCTGGGGTTACAGGCAGTAAAACATACATAAGATAAAAAGATAAGATAAAAACATACCTATAGATTAGTATTGGTCTGCAACCAACAGAGGGTACCTTGTAATTCTAATGACTCAGTGGCCTCAGTTCCTTCAACCATTGACTGACTATATTGTCTACATGTGCTGAGGATACAGCTGTGAACAAGATCGAAAATGTAGCCCTTCCTTCATGGGACTTAAATTCTAACTCAAACTCCCCATTGCTTGGAAGGGAGAGTCAAAAATTTTATTGATTCAGGGGGAAAGAGCACATGCATTCATTAGGCAGCGTGCAGGCCTGAGAGAAAAGGAGTTGAGATCGGAGATCTGCCTTGAAGAAGTACATGGGTGGTGACCCCCTTTCCTGAAAGAACAGTGGAAGAAGAGCCAGGACCAGCCCTACCTGGTGCCTGACACTTGGCTGAGGGGCAGCAGAGAGGGAGGACTGTGTGACCCACGTAGATCCTGACAGGGAAAGGCCCTCTTCCATGGGCAGCTGGGGACAGCGCAATGCCAAAGTTAGTTACCATTTGGAATGAGAAAAAGCAGCGTGGCAGAATGAATGACTCTTGGTGCAGACCAGCACTTGATTCCCTAGGGTTAGAGGTCTAGGTCAGCCTTTTTGTAGAAGAGGGGCAGTGGTGACGCCTTTATGGGAGCCCCCACCGGTTCTCTGAAGAGCAGGTGTACTTTCCTCCCTGTGTGGCTCCGCCAACCAGTGAAAGAAAAGCATGGGAGGGCCACCATAGAGCCCCAGGGCAGTCTGGCCTAAGGCGCCTCCCCCCTCCCAGCCTGCAGCCCTGACACCCCTCTCCCATTAGAGTCCAGCAGAGAGGCTGAGCTGGTCAGGGAGGGGGGCAAGCAGTCAGAGTGTGGGGTGCAGACACACCAAGGGGCTGCCTGGTATCCATCCGCTTCTCCTCCAGCGCTGCTGTTCCCGACCTCCCGATCCTTTCTCCCCGACGCCCCCCGCCTCCCGCCGGTCCCTTATATTGTAGCAGCGCCAGAAATGTGGCGGTGGTCGCCACGTTAGGGTCCGCGGGGTCCCACTGAGGCAGCCTAGTGCCAGCCCGCCCCTCAGGCCCGGCTCCTCGTGGCCCCGCCCACCTCTGGGTCGGAACTACGGTGGGCGCGGGAGGGGGCGTCGAGCCCATTCGCGCCGTATCCCTCCGCACCCCTTCCCGACACCCTCGCGGCGAGTGGTTTTTGCCGCATCCTGCGTAGCCCCTGCCCAGTTTGCTGCAGAGGAGCGGGGGGCGGGACGCCTCTTCGCAATTCTGATCGCACCACAGAAAGCGGTGGGAATCCGGGTGAGGGAGCAGCCAGAGCAGAGCAGAGCCAAGCCGAGGAGAGCAGGGGGAGGCCGACGACCTGGGCCCTGAGCCTGCGGAGGCAAGTGGGGGTGTGGTGGGGGGGCGTGGGCGGTCCCCTCCCCCGTCGACCGGCTGGTAGCCTGTCCCCGAGACCCTGGCAGCCCAGCGAGGAGGAGGCGACACGATCGGATCCCGTCCCTGAGAAAGGTGCGCAGTGCCCGGGGACCCCTGGCGAAGAGGAGGCGGCGACCTGCGCGGGTCGGGCCTGGCCGAGGGCGGAGGGGGTGGCCAGAGAGGCACAGCAGATGGCCTGGCGGCGAACCGCGCTGACCCGTCCCAGCCAGCTTTCCAGGCGCCCGCGCCCCGCCCTCCACGGTGTCTGCCCGGAGAGGGCTGTGAGGTGGAGGCCTCTGTGGGAGAAATGGCGGAGCGGGAGCCGGGGTGGGGGCGCCTGGTGAGGCCACCAGGGGCAGGGGCTGGTGTCAGAGCCCTGTGCCCAGCTGGCGGGAGGTGGGTGGAGTTTGCTACTCTGGGCCCTGATTCCGGAAAGGCGCCCGTTGGGCCTAGTGCCCTGATGTCAAAAGTCTACTGTGTGTACAATAGTTTTCGGTTTTCTGCAGAAGTGGAACTGTGAGTGGGTAGATTATGAAGACACCAAAATGAAATAGTCATGTGCCTTTTAATACAACACTGTTTTATTGCTTTCCATGTTTAGATCCCTACATCCTAGAATGTGCAAGCAAATGGGCAGGATGAGGATTTGGTCGAATTTCACAGCATGCTTGGGTACATGTAAATAAACAGTATAGTATTAATCCACTTTTCTTCATTCAGAATTTGTTTTTTCAATATGCCAATCCACTTTAAATAATATGTTGATATGTGGGAATGGGGGTTCAGAGTAGAGGGGAAATCTTTCTGAAGGGTCAATATAGAACTTTTGAAGTTAATCTGCCTTTTCAGTTTCTGGTTCTAGAAACCCATCTCCAGCTGCAACCACCCGTCACAGCCCCTCTCATTTTGGTACAGAAACAGTCCCACAGAAGAATTCACGACGTTTCCGATGGTGAATATCTGAGGAGCTGTGAAAGTTGGGAGACTCCATTTACTTAGTTCCTGATTCTCAAAAAGGAGTTGTTAGAATTCGAATTCTAGGAATCTGTTAACCTGATACTTTTCTACTTTTGTCAGCATAGTTGTTTCACTGAATGCCTTTCCTTCTTTCTGTAGGATGTAACTCTTCTTCAGCTAGAGGACGACTCTTTGGTGGGAAGGATAGAATATCCTGAGGATCTCTCCTGTATGGGCAGGCTGGCATAGGTGGTGAACGAGGTAGATCTGGGTATGCATGGGGAGGGAAGGGAGCATGCAGAGATTGTATTGAAGTAATAGTCTCCAATATCCTCCCTGCCTGCTTTCTAAATACAGTTGCCCATGTTCTACTACCTATTCCTGTACCTCATATTTTTATTCAGAGAAAGAGATGTGGCCTCTGCTGGGAAAATGGCTGACTTGAGAGTTGGGAGGAGGTGTAATCAGATAGGCTGCAGATGTTGGGAGGATGGCCAGGGAATCATTGAGGAGGAGCAGACAGGTGGAAAACATCTAACATGGCTTTGAATGTACAAAAACATATGTCATAATCCTTGTCATGGGTGTTAGATGATCTTAGTCTCTTCTGTTTTCTTTTTTCTGCCTTTTTTTTCTATTCATAGATTTGTTCCTTTCTAGATTCCTGTCGAGATCTGTAGGTAGCTGTTCGCTTGGAAGTTAATTAAGGAGAAAAAAAATTATTCGTTTGGATCTAAGGTGGGTGTTAGCATGTGCACCCTGTTGATTGAGGGTAGGGGGTGGCCGTTGGCAAGATCACATCTTGAAGCAGTTGTCTTCCAGCTTTCCAGACACCTCCACCTTCACATATGTGTACAGGTAATGGGGGTGGGGTGAGCCAGGATTGTGCCTATAGAGTAATTGGTAGATACTGAGGCAGGAAGTGGGGAAGGAAGCCATGAGGAGGACCAAAGGGGCCAGGAGTGTTACATAACCAAAGCTCTAGATTTGGGAAGACAGGTATTGGGTTTAGAGTTTGGAGTACAGGTCTGTCTACCAAATACTCAAAATTCCAATCCTGCCTATATTTTTGTCCATAGGTCTGCCTGTGGGTCGACTATAGGGCTTATCAACACTGGAAGCAAGGAAGGAGGAAAAAATTGTGCTGGATCAGTGCAGGTTGGTGTAAGACCTATCTGGATAGATCTGTAGGGTCTAGTAGTATATATCAGCATTGGTCAAAAAGGGGTGAACATTCCTTAGCCTCTCTTACTCTCAGCAAGCTTACCTACCATCATTGTTCCTGTTTGATACAGAGAAAAGAATGGTAGTGCCTGGGTAGAACATTGTTGAGCAGTAGTGGAAGTGTGCAAGGGACAAAATCAGGTAGCAGAGCTTTCTACTAATTCACTTCTACTACACAATCCATTTCTCCTCTCTTAAGTCCTTCTGTGTGGCTATCTGCATAGAGAAGCACAATTAGAGGTGACTCAAAGCCTCCATTTCTTTCTTTTACCTCAGGTCCATTTCCAGGGTTGGCTGTGGTGGCTTTGGATTGACAGAAGACCATCACCTTCAGCAGGTCTGCACTTGGGAACCATCATCCTCCCCAGCGTGAGCCTGCCTCTGCCCTCTATCCATATCATTGACAGAGACTGTGTGTTTGGAAAGGGGCTGTGTGACTACTGTACTGACAATTGACTCTTAACTCTTGCTACCAAATTTATCCCTGACCCAGTGGAAGAAGATTAAGACATCAACCTGGGACACATTGACAACCAAGGCCAAGACTGGACAGGGCCATATAACTGGGCTTCAACCATGACCGGGGCTAAGAATAAGCCTAGAGCCCAGACCAAAACTGAAAAAAGGGCTGGTGTACAGGCTAAAGCTGGAACAGAGAAGGAGGCTACTCCTGTAGTCAGGCCTGTAGCCAAGACCCGGGTCAAAGCAAAATCCAAGGCAGGGTCTAAGACAGAGGCAGTGACAGAGATGAAGGCAGTGCCTAAGAAAAAGGTGGCTGCTGAGGTAAAGGGAGGAGCCCGGTCAGAGCCTAAGACTCTGGTCAAAGCCATGGCAGATGTCAGTCCCAAGGCTGAGAATGAGGCTACCAGCTCCACATGTAAAACTGAGGTTTGTATTGATGCCTGGTTCTGGGCTGGGGAAGAGGCCAGTATCAATTCCTGGTTCTGGAATGGAGAAGAGGCTGCTAATCGTTCCAGCACTAAAAATGAAAATAAAGGCAATACTGTTGCCCGGGTCTGTGCAGCGGAGTTGGAACCTGTGCCTAGGCCCAGCTATAAGCCTAGGTCAGGGGCTGAGGAGGAGGAGGAAGAAAACGTTATTGGAAACTGGTTTTGGGAAGGAGATGATACCAGTTTTGACCTTAATCCTAAACCTGTCTACAGGATAGTTAAGCCTCAGCCTGTGGATGAAATTAATGAAAAAAATAGGCCTAAGGACTGGTCTGAAGTAACTATCTGGCCCAATGCCCCTGCTGTAATTCCAGCAGTGTTAGGATATAGATCCCAGGTCCCATCTGAGACAAAGCCTCCTTCATATATTGTTCTGGCCTCAGCTGAGGAAAATGCCCATTCTTTGCCTGCACCTACAGCCTGCTCTTCTAGGAGTACTCACTCATACTCACAGCCTACCCCTGAGTGCCCATTTGGTTCTGACCCTTGCATCCAGACCATAGATGAGATTAGACGCCAAATCAGGATCAGGGAGGTAAATGGGATTAAGCCATTTGCTTGCCCTTGCAAAATGGAGTGCTACCTGGATTCTGAGCAATTTGAAAAACTTGTTGGCATACTCGAGTCAACTACTGATCCTCTCATTCATAAAATAGCACAGATTGCAATGGGTATCCATAAGGTTCATCCATTTGCCCAAGAATTTATTAATGAAGTTGGTGTAGTGACACTTATTGAAAGCTTGCTCAGTTTTCCTTCCCCTGATGTGAGAAAAAAGACTGTAATTACTCTGAATCCTCCTTCTGGGGATGAAAGACAACGCAAGCTTGAATTACATGTTAAGCATATGTGTAAGGAAACCATGTCTTTTCCCTTGAACTCACCTGGACAGCAGTCTGGATTAAAGATACTAGGGCAACTGACTACTGAGTCTGTCCATCACTACATTGTTGCCAATCACTTTTCAGAGCTTTTCCATTTGCTTTCCACTGGAAATCGTAAAACCAGAAATCTTGTTTTGAAATTACTCGTGAATATGTCTGAAAATCCAACTGCGGCCAGAGATATGATCAATATGGAGGCACTGGAAGCATTAAAACTCATCTTTAACCAGCAAGAAGCGAAAGCCAATCTCGTTAGTGCTGTGGCCATATTTATTAACATAAAGGAGCATATCAGAAAGGGCTCAATTGTAGTTGTCGATCACTTGAGTTATAATACACTCATGGCCATTTTTCGAGAAGTTAAAGGGATTATCCAAACAATGTAAAATGATCGAGAGATAAAAGAGAACATTTTGAACCATCTTCAAACTGTAGCAGGCTGTGAATTCCCAAAGAGCCTTGCATTATATTCTGGTTATAACAGTGTACACATCATACATTGTATCTTTAACATGATATTACCTGAGACAAACTAGATTTGAGCTAGACCATGTTGGGGGTATCAAATAAATATTACATCTTGAGCTGAAAACATTGGTTGATTTTTATCTTGTCTAGGTTGGCAAATTTTTAACATTTTACTTGAGAAAATCGTGAACCATTTCATCATAAGTAAGCCAATTTGTTCACTAGTATCTGCTTAGATCCATGTGTGGCTACAAATGACAAAAAAGAAAATATCCTTGAATTAAGGCATATATACACAAAGGTAACTGACAGTACCTAGATTATGTGTGTGTGTGTGTGTGTGAGTGATATATACTCATTGCCAAATGTGCCCTCTCAATACATAAAGGAGGCAGCGGTTGCTACAGGCTGTTTAAGAGGAATTACTATTTTTCCCCTATTCCAGCCATATCAGACACACATTCTACAAAACAAAAATGACCCAGAATCTCAGACAAAATGTAGTGTTTGTTCATTTTTTATTTAGTTTCTACATTTATAATTCTTAAATTGTTAGGCTATTTCATTTGCGTCAAAGTCATTCCACAGAGGAGAAGGGAGGAAACATTTTGTGAGTGCCTGTTCTATGTCAAGACACTTTGTTGGCACTGTATTTTACAAGTTTTTTTTTCCTCTTATCACAGCAGGCAGGTGACATAGCCAGTCTCACCACACTCCTCACTCTTAATTGGTGGCCTTCAAAGCTCAAAAGACCAGTTTTAATGGTTTAACTTTGTGGTGGATGATGTCCTCGCCTGGTGTTGCAGTTGTTAACTTCCTCAAAATGCATGTGTCTATTAAGCATTTGGGTATACTTGCTGGAGATCAGGAGAAAAGTCTGAGAGACTGTATGGATCTTATCTGGCAGTGTCTGGGAAATAGTAGGTGCCCAAAACGTTGTTCAATGAATAAGATGTAAATTTGGAATCATCAGCAAGTGAAATTTGTTATATATCCGTCCTATCCATTTGTACTTTTTTTCAAAGAGCAAGAATCATTCTGTACATGGTTTCATACCCTGCATTTAGAAAGGTGATTGCTTTCTTCCTCCTTGTAAAATCATACCTTAGCATTTTTTAACATGTATGATTTATTCTCTTGTGTGTCATAGGAAAAGCCAAAGGACTTTATCTTTTATTAGTAGGCAAGCCTGGACATTTCTGCATTTGTACCAGCTAAAACTGTGTGAAATAAACTTAACTAGAGAAATTTAGACCCAGAACTCCAGCTTCAACAACACAAAACAGGAAAGCTAAGAGAGAGGCTGCTGTCTCAACCTACGAGATAGTAGTTCCAGAAAGCATTCCCAGAACCTTTGGGCTATGTCTGAGTTCTCTAAGACTCGTGGTAGGAATTACAGCCCCTGGTCTGAGCTGAGGAGAAAGTCTCTTCTGTGTGAAAATATGGGGTTATATGCTTTGATATTTTCAGACAGTTAAGAAACTAAACAAGATCGTACTGTAAATATGTTTGTAATTTGCTCCCCCCACTAACTATATTGTGAACATCTTTCCATGTCAGTAAATATGCCTCTGTAATGTATTTTTGAATCACTTAAATGTTTTTCTTGTATTAACAGTTGGTGTATTGTGTTGTAATCTTTCATTATATATTCTCTTAATATACAATGTGCACAAGTTCTTTTGCAAAAATAGGAGTATAGTACTCTGTGATACCTTTTCCTCTTAATTATCTTTCCAATTTAGTATTATATAGATCTACCAAATGCTTTTCATTTGACAGCTTTATTGAGATATAATTGACATACATTAAATTGCATATTGTAAGTGTACAATTTGATAAGTTTTGACATGTATATACACACAAAACCATAACCACAATCAAAACAGTGAACATGTCCATCACCCCAGAAGCTTCTTAATGCCCCTTTGTAATCCCTCCCTCCTGTCTCTCCCTGTGCCCACATCTCAGGCAACCACTGATCTGCCTTCTGACAACATAGAATTGTGTTCATTGTCTATAATTGTATATAAATTGAATCATTCAGCATGTATTATTCTTTTGGGGGGAAGGGGCTGGTTTATTTCACTCAGCATAATTGACATTCATCCATGTCATGTGTCTCAATAGTTCATTGCCTTTTATTGCCGAGTAGTATTCTACTATATGGCTTTACCACAGTTTATCCATTCACCTGTTGATGGACATTTGAGTTGTTGATATTTTGGCTATTACAGTTAAAACAGCTGTGAGCATCTGTGTACAATTGTTTCTATGGATATGTTTCTCTTGGATAAATACATAGGAGTGGAATGGCTGAATTGTAGGTATATGTTTAATTTTTTACATTTTCGAAAGTGGTTGTATAATATTCCTACAGCAGTGTATGAGAGTTCTGATTGCTCCACATCCTTGCTAACTCTTGGTATGATAGGTCTTTTTAATTTTATCCGTATCTCATTGTAGTCCTAATTTGCATTTCCCTAATGACTAATGATGTTGAACATCTTTTTATATGTGTATTTGCCATCCATATATCTTTAGTGAAGTATGTGTAATCTTTTGCCAATTTTTTAAAAATTGGGTTGTTGATTTTTATTATTGTTGACTTGTTAAGTTTTTTGTATATAGTGGATACAAGTCCATTATCAGACATATTATTTGTAAATATTTTCTCCAAGTCTGTGGATTGTCTTTATTCTCTTAAAAATGTCTTTTGAAGAGCAAAAGTTTTTAATGTTGATGAAGAACAGTTCTTTTACCAATTTGGCTTTGGTGTTATATATAAGAAATCTTTGTTTAATTAAAGTTACAAAGAATTAATTCATCCTATATTTCCTTCTAGAAGTTTTATACTTTGGGGTTTTACAT